TGTGGGAAATAACCCTGTTCCCAGCCAAGGTGTTAGGGGGAAAGGCTGTCCTGAGCTAATCCCATACAGGCTTTGTGAACCCCACCCCCACTCCAGACAAAAGCCATCAGGGACACTGGGAAAGACAAATCCTGTCACCACCAAAGGGAAAGTGGCAGGGACCTGAGGGTGGAGTTAAGCAGCCAGGTTTGATATAAAAAACCAAACACGTGGGCCTTGGGGGGCACGCTCTCTTCCTTGCCTCCTGGCTTCATGGCTCCTGGCTTATGGCCAGCTCTCAGAGTGCCATTTGGGATTCCAGATTGGCAGATCAGGTAGGACGCATTTAAAATTTTGTCTCCCACTTTACTCCCTGAGCTGTACATTTCCTCATTTCCCCTTCCCTTGTAAATAAACCTTTTATTAACCTTTGTGTGCACCTGCAGTAGAGTATTGATAAGTCCTTTTAAGCGCGCGGGTGAGGACCCACAGTCAGGCACCCCGTTTTGGATTGGGGCTGCCTTATAACAAAGGCACCAGATGAAAGGTTCGGAGCAGTAAAGAAAAGGAGAGCAGGCTAAATTTCTCAAAGGGAGGGAAAATTTACTGTGCCACAGGTGGACCTCAGGGACCCAAGGTGGGGGTCCATGAAACTCCATACATTGTCAGGGGGAAGCAGGCTTTTATAGCGTGAGGAGGTCAGATGGGGGACTGGGTTTGTAGGGCACGAAAAGATTTGTAGGGCAGGGGGAGTTTCTTTGTCTGAGAAAAGATTTGTAGGGGAGGGGTCATTATCTGAATTCTCTAGGCAGGCTTCAGCATCCCTGTTCCCAGGTGGGCTTCCTAGTGGGTTTTTGCCTTCCAGGCTCCTGCATGGACCTTTCAGTAGTGAAACAATAGGTAACTTTTTAAAAAAAAAAATCATACAATTGTACGATTATCCTTACATTTACAGAAAGTTATTTTCTTAAAAATGCTTTCTTAGCATACGTTGGTTATTAATATTCTAAAGTAAAGAAGTTATAATGCTTGTGACCAGCCTCGGCAAACTGTCCTGTGAGGGGTTCCTGTAAGGATGAGAGGGCATGGACAAATCTGAGGGATTAGGGGGAGGGCGAGTGAGGAGATGCAAACACTTGATCAGGGTGCAGACATCATCCTGCTGAGGGTCTCAGCAGCCCTTTATGTATACCTTACAAGCAAACCCAGAGCACATAAGCATATGCATTAGAGCAGGAAGATAACAATCATCACATCTTCCTCTAGAACAGCCAGGGGTTTATTTGCCCTTCAGCAGAGGTTGTAACATTCTTTATTTTGAAGAAGGCACAGTTGCTAAACAACAGTGTTCTTAGAATAGTCATTTATCTTAAACAATCGTTTTATTACTAGCAAAAACTTATGTGACTGAAACTAACATTTCTATGTTCACCATGGTGAAGGATTAACTAAGGGCTGGGGAAACAACCGAGCCTCCACCATATCCAATTTATGGAGGGCAACCTGAATCTGGTCCTGTATACTTTTAAAAGCTTGATCTTATATGCTTATAAAAGCTGACTCAAAAATGTTACGGTTCTCATCCCTCATACACTTGATAGTTAAATCAAGGCCCTGCTTTTGTTGTTGCATGGCCAGGTTAAGAGCCTGAATTTGTTGTTGCGTGGCTAAGAGCCTGAATGTGTTGTTGCACATTCTCAGTATGTGAAGTAGAACATCTACCTCGCATAGAAACAAGAATGTAGCAAATGGCACTTACACATATTACCAAAAAAACACCCAGAAGGACAGACTGTAAAGGGATGGCTTGTAAACCACCCACGTATGTATACAGTAGTAAAATCATGTGCCATACACCAGGCTTCATCAATTTATTTACATTAATGAAACTGGTGGTAATATTTAATGGAAGAAGGCTACTTAAATTCAAGGCCGGAAGGAAACTGAAAGAAGTCAAGCTAGGGATGAAACTGTATAAGCTCATGGCTGAGGCCATATTTGAGACAAAAACACACCCACAAGAGCTGTACACACAGGAAAAAAACAGACTTTTCAGCACTTGAGACAAAGATTACACTGCGAGTCCTGCAGACTTAGTGCGCTTATGGTGACCAACGCAAGGAAAGTTACTTTGGGTTGGTCATCCACGGGTGTAGCTTGGAAACCACATTGGGCGCCAAATTGTTATAGGGCGGCCCCAATACAAAACGGGTTGCCTGACTGTGGGTCTTCATCTGTGTGCTTAAAAGGACTTATCAATACTGTACTGCAGGCACACACAAAAGGTTGATAAAAGATTTGTTTAAAGGGGAGGGCAAATGAGGAAATGTACAACTTAGGGAGAAAAGTGGGAGACAAAGTTTTAAATGCATCCTACCCAATGTGCCGATCTGGAACCCCAAATGGCACTCTAAGAGCTGGCCGCAAGCCAGGAGCCATGAAGCCAGGAGGCGAGTGAGACCCCCAAGGCCCACGTGTTTGGTTTTTTATACCAACCATGGCTGCTTAACCCCACCCTCAGGTCCCAGCCACCTTCCCTTTGGTGGTGATGGGATTTGTCTTTCCCAATGTCTTGATGGCTTTAGTCTGGAGCAGGGGTGGAGTCCACAAAGCCTGCATGGGATTAGCTCAGGACATCCTTTCCCCCTAACAGAAGGACAGGAAGTTACCTGGGGGAAGGGAGACAGAGGGATTTTTTTCTAACTAACCTATAAAGTTTAGACAAACATATAACCATATTGTCACAGGGCAGGGAGAAGGGCAGCCCAGACCCCACAAACCTGCCTATTCTAAATGGGTTCTGCCATCTGCCGCATCAACATAAAACATATGAGACTTTAATGCAATTAGGAAATAATACAGAAAAGGCCAAGAATATAGTTTCTAAATCAAGCACCCAATGTTACCCGTCCCCTCGTGGGTAAAAGTCCACTCAAGCAGGATTGGCCCAGAGCAACACCCCAAAAGTCTGCCACAAGTCTTAAGCATCTTCCAGTGGGGACCCACAGAAAAGGATCAGAAATAACCAGACAAGTCTGGAGGGAAAAGAGCAAAATCAAAACCAAGACAAAAACCGCCATTGTCACCTCCCCATGGGTCTCTCACCCACATCTGTGTCACCCAGTCCATGACCAAAAGGCAAGCACAGTTTCTTCACGTGTCTCTCGGCTCCATGTGCCTCCTCCAGGTCTCCTTCTGGCTCCATCCTACTTCCTTCCTTCTTCAGTCTCCTCTGCAGCTTCTTCTCTCTCTGCTCAGCTCCACCCTCCACTTGGGTGGGGCAGGGAACCTGGAACCTCCCCTTTTCTTGGGGAACACCCTGTTACAATCCCCCCTTTTAATTTTTATTCCACCATATCTATGGTGGCACAGATCTCAGGGTGTAGTCTTAGGAGACAGTCTTTTTTCAGGGTTACAATGTGTGTAAGAGAAGCAACAATTAGTCAGCAGCATTGTCCATGAATGTCCAGTATGAGAGTTTTCAATTACTGGAAAATAGTCCATTATCCAAGCCAAAAGAAAAAAAAATCTGGAGCATTACAAGCGCGGATGAGGACCCACAGCTAGGCAACCCATTTTATATCGGGGCTGCTCTGTGACGGTATGATTAAAGCAAAAAACAGAAGGCTTCTATATAGAAATCATCATCTAATAGTATATTGTTTTAATAAGATATTGATTCAATATTAAGGAACCAAGGACCTGGAGGGCATCATTGCCAAACAAGCCGCACTGACTCTTCCCTAGCCCCAAGCTCTCAATTAAGGGAGGAATTCTCCTAATCTAACAGAAGAGTTTTTCTACCTATTATTCCTATACTTATCTAGTCAGCCTACTTTCTGCATCTAACTTTAAAATCAAGGGAAAATTCTTTTTTTTTTGTCCTGAATATTGTTTTAAGGAAGTACAAATATTTCATCAGAGGCAGGACCGGAGATGGTTATAGCTTTTGGTTCTCAGAATGGTTAATGCGGGACATATCAGTAGTGGTAACACTATTATTTGTGCTGTCAAGATTATTAGCTTAACCAGTCACAAAATTGTTGTTGGCTTATTCTTGAATGCATACTCCAACAGCTACCATACCCATTGTCACTGAAAGGGAACTGTTCAGGAAAAGGGAACTGTTAAGGAAAAGTGAATCTTTCCCTGTTAAAGAGCCATAGACATGGAAATGTCAGTGAAAGACAAGTTTGCTTCCTTAACAAGCATGTCTAAACAAGGCCTGGCAGCCTGCTAGGCTGGTTGTTCTCCTGGGCCAGTCTCAAAGATCTGAGTCCTTCCCCTTTTCCTGTGTCTAGAATTTGTATGCTAACTAACCAATGTTATCAATAAATCACACAGTGCCATTTGCTGTCAAATTGGTTATTCAGTAATTGATCAAACAGCCTTTGCAGTTTTACTTTTAAATGCGTATTTTAACAATGGTAGAAACTAGCCATAAACAAATGAGAATCTAGCAGGAGTCAGCTGAAGAGATTCCTGATTTTTCAGGAATCTGCCCCATGCCCGGACCTTTTTCAGACGACGGGAGTAGCATGGCTCCCAGCATAATAACATCTTTTTGAAAGGTTTTATTCTAGTAAAGTAATATTTAAAGCTCTAACCCACATAAAAAAATTATGCATGGGATCCGTAATAATTTGTGAGACTACAGAGACATCCTGAAAGAAAAATGTTTGAGAATCGCTGACCCAGTTCCTGGGCCTGGATTCAGGGAGGCAACAGTGTGACAAAGGTCTTGGTGCAGGAGAGGAGGGGTCTCGGGATGTGGGTCTCAAGGTCTCAGTTCCCAGGGCTCTGTCTGGGGCTGGAAGGTGACTGTTGGGGATTCCCCGGCTCCCCAGTTTCACTTCTCACAACCTGCGTCGGGTCCTACTTCCTGGATACTGGTGAGTCACCCCAGGGCTCACTCCCCATTGCCTGGAGGTCTCCAGAGCAGCCAATCAGCAGCCCCGCGGCTCCCGTTCCAAAGCCCTCACCCGCCCGCCAGGACTCCGTCACCCCAGCCCGGGCGGAGGCGCGTCCTGGGGGATGGGGGGCGCAGCCCTCCTGCTCCTGCTCGCGGTGGCCGCGGCCCCGAGGGAGACCCGGGCGGGTGAGTGCGGGTCGGAGGGGACAGGGCGCTCCCAGAGGCGGGAGCGAGGGCGTGGGCGGGCGTGGGAAAGGCGCGACCACGCCTCCGCCCTAGTTGTCCCCCCACGTCGGCCCCGCCCCGTCCTGGCCCCTTTCTGTCCCCCGAGACCCCAGCCTCCTCTGGCCCCCCGAGTCCGGCCATTTTCGTCCCGCAGCCGCTTTTCACTCTCACTCGTCTTTCACCCACTTTCTGTCTCGTGGGCGCCCCCTGGGACTCGAGCCCCGGAAAGGGAGAAGAATAACCCGGGTCTCCCCTCCCGCCCCCAGGCCTCCACTCCATGAGGATTTTCTACACCGCGATGACCCGGCCCGGCCTCGGGGAGCCCCGCTTCATCTCCGTGGGCTACGTGGACGACACGCAGTTCAACCGCTTCGACAGCGACTCTCCGGGCCAGACCTTGGAGCCGCGGGCGCCCTGGGCGGAGCAGGTGCGGCAGGAGGAGCAGGAGGAGTGGGACTGGAGGACGCGGATCCTAAGGGACCGCACACTGTGGTACGGAGCGCAGCTGGACGCCCTGCGCGGCCTCTACAACCAGAGCGAGACCGGTGAGCTGGCGCGGGTCCGGGCCGGGTCAGCACCCCCATCCCAAAGGACGGGGGTTCTCTCAGGGTCTCCCCCTCCAGGCTTCTCTGCAACCTGCCCTGGAACAGCCCATGGGACTTTCACCCCGTTTCATTCTGTTTATTCCCGGCGGGAGGGGGGGCTGGCGGGGTGACCGCGGGGTGACGCGGACGGGGACAGGCTCTCACACCTTCCAGAGGATGTCTGGCTGCGACGTGGGGCCCGACGGGCGCCTCCTCCGCGCTTACAGTCAGTTCGCCTACGATGGCGCCGATTACCTGGCCCTGAATGAGGACCTGCGCTCCTGGACCGCGGTGGACACGGCCGCTCAGATCACCCTGCGCCGGTGGGTGGTCCAGGGTGTGGCAGAGGAATTCAGCAACTATGTGGAGGGCAGGTACTTGATGTGGCTGCGCACATTCCTGGAGTACGGGAAGGAGACTCTGCAGCGCACGGGTAAGAGGGGCCTGGAGGCCTCCGGGTCCCCCCCTGCCTGGAGTCACTGCGGGAAATGAGTCCTCTCCCTAGTCCCGAGAGGGGCACTCCCCTGGGTTTCATGTTCTGCACTGAGAGGGGCACTCCCCTGGGTTTCATGTTCTGCACTAGAGAGACTCCCAGAGACTCCGGCTTCTCCTGAAGGACAGTGAAGGGATCCCGTCTCTCCTAAGAAAGACAGTCAGTCCCTGACATCACACGTCACCGGGTCCTTTTGACCAGGTGCCCTATTTGAGAACCACGAGTCTCTGTCTTTTTTCTGGTCTGAGAATATTTTTAGTTATGTGATTCCTGCTTGTCTGTGTCACTCACCTTCCACTCTGGTCAGGTATAAAAAGTCTCTGTTCCTCTCTCTCTGCTTCATCCTACCCTGGGTTTTCCTCCTCACTCTAGAACTTTCTAAGGAATAGGAGAATCTCACGGATTCCTCCAGATTAGCCTGTTTCTTGCATTTTATGCTTCTAGCTGTTATAGGGCAAACCCCGATATAAAATGGGGTTTCCTGACTGTGGGTCCTCACCTGCGTGCTTAAAGGGGACTTATGAATGCTAAACTGCAGACACACACAAAAGGTTGATGAAAGGTTTATTTACACAGGAAGGGGAAATGGGAAATGAATAACTCAGGGAGAAAAAGAGGGAGATAAGTTCATAAATGCGTCCTACCCGTTCCGCTGACCTAGAATCCCAGTGACCCACAGAGGTGGTGAAAACCTAGCACGCCTCATCTCGTGGCCAAGCCAGAGACTCCCGGCCACATGACCAGTTAAATACCCAAATGGAGAGCCTAGTTGCTTAACTACACCCTCAGGTCCTCCCAACCTTCCCTTTGGTGATCATGGGATTTGTAGTTCCCAGTGTCGTGGGGGTGAAGTCCACAAAGCCTGTATGGAGTTTACTCAGGACATCCTTCACCCCTGTCATTCCTGACACACCAGTTGTCTTGTCCATTGTGAGGACGGTCTTACGAGGATTCCTCATTGTCCATGGAGGAAACACAAAGTAAGTTTTCTGATTTACCACTTCAGATCCCCCAAAGACACATGTGACCCACCACCCCACCTCTGAGTATGAGGTCACCCTGAGGTGCTGGGCCCTGGGCTTCTACCCTGCGGACATCACCCTGACCTGGCAGCGAGAAGGGGAGGACCTGACCCAGGAGATGGAGCTGGTGGAAACCAGGCCTGGGGGAGATGGAACCTTCCAGAAGTGGGCGGCTGTGATGGTGCCTTCTGGAGAGGAGCAGAGATACGTGTGCCACGTGCAGCATGAGGGTCTGCTGGAGCCCCGAGTCCTGAGATGGGGTAAGGAGGAGGATGTGGGCACAGAGGCTGTTCTCAGGGCCATCAGGAGCCCTTCTGGAGCCCTTCAGAGGGTCCGGATAAGGTCTGGGGCTCAGGGTATGATCTTCCTTCCCTTCCAGTGCCCCCTCCTCAGTCCTCCATCCTCACCATGGGCGTCATTGCTGGCCTGGTTCTCCTTGGAGCTGGGCTCACTGGAGCTGCAGTGGCTACAGCTGTGATGTGGAGGAAGAAGCACTCAGGTAGGGAAGGGACTGGGGAATCTTGTCCACTGGGGACTTTCACGTCCCAGGGAGAACTTGCCCTACCTGGTTAATGGGAAGTACCATCCACACACACGTGTGTTGCCCAGAGGGCATTTGGTCCAGTCCCCCCTCACTTCCTTTCTTCATTTTCCCAGTCCTGACCTGGGTCTTTAGTCACAGTTCTGGAAACTTCCCTGTGGTGCAGGATTAAAAGATTCCTTTAGGTCTTCTGACCTGACTACTCCCTGGTCTCACATGATGTTTCTTCCCACAGGAGGACAAGGAGGAAACTACACTCAGGCCGCAGGTAAGTGTGGATCAGGGGTTTGATCCTTGAGCCCCTGGAGACAGTGTAAATGGACTCCATGGGGAAGTCACCCTCATCAGTCCCGTCAGATGTGGTCTCATCTCTGACCAGGTTCTGTTTTGTTCTCAACCAGGCAGCGACAGTGCCTAGGGCTCTGATGTGTCTCTCAGCCCCTAAGTATCTTTTACAATGAACCTGATGAGGCTCCTGTTGTGCACACCTTGGACAGCAGTGTGATGGTGTCACTGTTGTTCTTAACTGTGGTATTGAGCATTTGTTTGTATTTTTATTTTTCTATGTCTACATAAGTTGCTATGTCTATACATAATAATAAATAAAATATAATAAATAAAAAGATTTATTTATTCATGCATACAAGAACTGGGGTACAGGCCAGATGCACAGGAGGTGATAAGATTCACCAGAGACAGAGTGGGGAACAGAACAGGCAGACTGATGAAATACACTGCTGAGGGGAGCAGCGGGTGAGACAGGAGAGGTCTGCCGCTCCATGTGGGATTCTCGCCCACCGGCCAGGATCGAACCTGCACTGCAGAGGCTGCGGACAGCTTCACAGTGCTGCGCTCAACCACCAGGGCCACCAGGGGAGGCCTGGAAGTCATTTTTTTTTTTTTTTTGCTGTATTTATAACACTGTTTTTTGTCCTTATTAAAATTGGGTTATTTCTTGCTGATCATTGAGTTTTAAGCATTATTTGTAAATTCTTGATACAGTCCTTTATCAGTTTGTGATATGCAAATGTTTCCCCCCACTCTGTGACCTGAACTCCTTTGCTGTCGGGAAAACAAGCATTATTGTCCAGACAGAAGCATGGATATATTTTTTTAGAAAAGAAAAGATAAGTTGCTAATTGGTTTTGAGCAGATACTGGCTGACTGGGATGTTGGGGGATGGAAGGGAATGAATTACTTATGTGTATCCTTGAGTGTTATTTAAATGTCCTTCCATGAGCATGAAATATGCTTTCAAAAATAAATTACTCTTCATTCCTCAATTTATAAAACTCTTCACACATCATGTCCAAATCATGTGTTACGATCAGACTGGCACATGGGTTACAAGTGATGGACCTGCACATCATAGTCGCACAGTCATGGTTTCACTCAGGGGTCACTCTGGTGTTGTCCATTCTGTGGGTGTTGGGCAAATATGTAATGACCTGTGTCCATCATGAGAATATCATGCAGAGTATTTTCACTGCCCATAATGTCTTCTGTGCTCCAAGGAAGCAAAAGCAAAAAGAAACCAGTGGAATCACATGAGACTAAAAAGCTTCTACTTAGTGAGGGAAACTCATTAAAATGAAAAGACAATATTGAGTTGGAGAAAATATTTGCACATCATCAATCCAAAAAGGAGTTACTATCTGAGATCTACAAAGAACTGCAAAACAAGAAAACAACTCAATAAAAACAGGGCAGAGGAGCTAAATAGATACTTTTGTAAAGAAGACATACAGATGGCCAATAGGTATGTGGATAAATGTTTGTCGTGTGCTGTCAGGAAAATGCCAATTAAAACCACAATGAGTTACTACCTTACACCTGTGAGAATGACCCACTGACGGGTGTGAACTCTCTCTGGTACATGGTTGGTGGGAATGAAGTCTGGTCCTGTTATTGGGCAGAATGAGGGTTTCCCAGGACCCTCAAACCTGTACACTCTACATGGGATCTGCCATCATCTGAAAAAAGACAAAACATACTCTAAAGCATAAGACCTTCACTAGAAAAGAACTTTTAATACAATCAGGGTGCAATAGAGAATTAGTGTGCAATAGAGAGAAGAGAAAGAATATAGTTAGAATAGGTCGCAAGTGAAACACCCAAAGTTACCTGTCCCCTCATGGGTAAATGCCCAGCAAAACAGGGTTGGCCCAAAGCAGGCCCACTGGGGCCCGAACGCCTGCCACAAGGCTAAGGCACCTACTGGTAGAGACCCATGGGACAGGGGCAGGAGGGGCCAGGCAAGTCTGGACAGACGAGAGCAAAATCAAAATCCACATCAAGATATCAGCTGCCATTGTCAGCTTCTCCATGGGCCTTTCACCCAAGTCTTTGTCTCTTTCACGTGTCTCTTTCTGTGTCCCCAATTCCCTGGCACAAGTCCAAGCCTGAGGAACAAGCCTGGCTTCTTCACATGTCTCTCTGCTCCATGCGCCTCCTCCAGTCTTCTTTCCTCATCTCACTCCACGTCTTCCTCCTCTTCCTTAGCTTCTCATCCCTGCTCAGCCCACATTTCCTTGGGTGGGGCGGTAACCTGGAACCTCTCTTTTCTATGGATAGCACATTGGTCCTGCCCCTATGGAAAACAAATGAAGGTTCCTCAAAATATTCATAATGCAACCAAAAAAAAAAAAAAAGGAAAAAAGTCAACAATGAAAATAAAAGAAACATTTGCATGAATTATTCAGTTTAACCCACGACACCCTGTGAGTTGTCAGATACCATGATCCCAGCGTAACTCATGACTGTGGGGAGTGAGACTCAGAAGCGCAGCCCAGGCCACACATTGGGTGACCCAGGGTTCTGACCACCCAGGGCCCCCTGCTGTGGCAGCTGCAGTGAGGAAGGGTCTCTGAGCTGAGGAGGCTGAGGACTCAGTGTGGTCACATCCACTGGAAACATACAGAGTGAGGGTTGGGCCTCTTAGTGATGGGCAGCCACTACCTCCCCAGCCAGCCCTTCTATTGACAAGTCAAATTAAAAAAAAATTCCTCCTGATGTTGCTCTGATGCTGGAGGCAGGTGGGGTGGGAGAGAAAGTGGAAGTGATGACAGGCCCTGTGAGCCCTCCCTGCCTGGTGTGGGGAGCAGAGAAGGCAGGTGAGAGTCCATGTTGAGAAAGGCCTGGGGTCTGTGGGGAACAGAGACTGGAGAGGGTGAGAGTGTGCGGGGCAGGGAGGAGGCTCCTGCGGTCTGACCAGGGCAGGTGTGGTCACCTCCTCCCTGAGCATCTCCTCTGCCCTCCCTTGTTCACCTTCCTCACCCACCTTGCAGGACAGTCATGGCCTTGGGGTCCCTACTGGACCCCTCCTGGAAGAAGTGACCTGCAGCATCTACCTGGAGACAGGAGGCCCCTGGGAGCACCTCTTGTGGCCACAGCTTCTGCCAGGCCTGCTCTCAGCTGAGTGACTCTCTGACCCGCCGAGGTCACTGTGTGCTCTCCACGCTGCCAGGAGCCACCACAAGAGGGAACAGCAGGTTCAGTTTTATTCTGGTCAGTTTGTCCTCTGGGAGCAGACTTGCCCAGAGGTCATTTTCCTGCTTCTACATTTAATCTGGATCCCTGCAGCCTTGTGCAAGTGGTGGGATATGACCAGCTTTGCTGAGGCCCGCTTTAGCAGCAAGCCTTGACAGAAGCCATGGGGAGAGAGGCCCATGGCATTCTAGGCCCAAACTCAGCATGTGGACTGTGGGCCTCCCTGAGCTCTGACAGCATTGGCCTGGGCTGTGCTATGGCAGGTGTGAGACCGGCCTGGTGGGCTGTGATAGAGGGGTGCCTGCTCTGGATGCTCAGGTGAGCATCTGGCCCTGCTGAAGCCCACTCCCACTGTGATCCCTGATGCTGGGGGGAGAGGGGACCTTACTGCGTGCAGCCTACGGGCCTGTTTGATGCCCTCTGAGTGACACTATCTGACTTCCAGGGTGAGACTATCTGACCTCAGCATCTGGACGCATGGGCAGGTGTTTCATTTGGGAACACAGTGCCAGAATTGTAATGGGCCAATCAGATTCAAGCTCTCACAGCTGTCATTCAAGATTTTTTTTGTTTTGTTTTGTTTGTTTGTTTTAAAAGAGATTTTTATTTTTACTTAGGTATGCACACAAGAACTGCCAGAGGTGTCGGGGGTTGGAGGATTCACCAGAGTCAGAGTAGGGAACAGAACAGGCGGATCTACTGAAATACATTGCTAAGGGGAGGAAAGGGCTAGACAGGAGAGGCCTGCTGAGCCATGTGAGTTGGCTCCCTGGCCGGGGATCAAACTCATGTTGTAGTGGCTGGCAATAGCTTGATTGTGATGTGTCTTTAACCCCTGCGCCACCAGGGAGCCCCCACCATTCAAGGTTTTTGAGACCATCCAGGCATCTACATGGACCAATCTGATTGGAGCTCCACTGGCACCAACCAAACAGCTGGCATTATAAAGGGGCCAATCAAGCTTGAAAGGTGGCGCCCTGAAGAGGATACAAGCCAGAGCAGCAGCCAGCCTGAGCCACTTGATAGACAACTACTGGTCAGATCTGTTGGTACTCCTAGAAAGATCTTTGCCAAGACCTCCGCACAGTATGAGACCTTTCCAGAGACCTTTGCTGAGACCTGATGTCTACACCTGCCTCTGGCCCTGGCTCTAACACCGCCTGCAGAGAACATCATCAGGCTGTCCCTGGGGTTTCTAAAGGAGCTGTTTGCTGGTGGCTTATACCTAGCATCTCTAAGGCTGTTTGCTGTTGGTACAATGGCATCTTTATCAGATGTAAACTGGTATCTCTGGCACCATTGCCTGCTGGACCAGTGCTGACCAGCACTGCTGACTTGTATCCGGCCTCCTCTGAGAGCTGTCCACCTCTTCTCATCCTTGGGCACCATCTCCTGGTTGCTGTTGCATCTGGCAGTGTCCAGTCCAGGGTCTGGTGCTGACCGCCTGGCCTTTGGAAGCCTTTGTTTCGGACCACTGGACACTGAGGACACTGTCTGAGGTAGGATGGATGGCCATTTCTGGGTTTAGACACTCCTTCCTTGTTTGCAGTCTCCCCTTTTTAATAAATCCTGTTGCTTTTACACCCTGAGCCTGAGTGTTGTCTTGCAAGTGCAAGCACATGGATGAGGACCCAGAGACAGTGACTGTCCCCAACTTTGCCCTGTTTTAACATAACCTGAGATTGGAACGGGTGACTGTCCCGCTGCAGGGTATGGTGTCCTGCACCCACCTGACCCCCTCTTCTCTGTTCTGGCCTGAGAAAGTGACAAGTGAAGCTGCAAAAATTCATGCCTGGACCTCCCTGGTGGCATACGGGGTTAAGGACAGCACTGTGAAGCTATCCACAGCCTCTGAAGCATGAGTTAGATCCCAGGCCAGGGAGCAACCCACATGGCACAGCAGACCTCTCCTGTCTCGCCCACTGCTCCCATCAGCAGTGTATTTCAGTCAGTCTGCCTGTTCTGCTCCCCACTCTGTGGTGAATCCTCTTACCCCCTGTAGATCTGGCCTGTACTGCAGTCCTTATAAGTATGAATAAATAAATCTTGGGCCTCCCTGGTGGCACAAGGGGTTAAGATGCAACCTATGAAGCTGTCTGCAGCCTCTGCAGCACGAGTTCAATCCCCAGCCAGCTAGATACCGACATGGCGCAGCAGACCTCTCCTGACTCTCCCACTGCTCCCCTCAGCAGTGTATTTCAGCCCATCCGCCTGTTCTGTTCCCCACTATCTCTGGTGAATCCTCTCACCCCCACACCTCTGGTCTGTACCCCAGTTCTTGTATGCATAAATACATAAATTTTAAAATAAATAAATCTTAAAAATAAAATTCTTGCCTGCCAGAGAGGTTAGGATTTGAGCTAAAAAGAACTTCAAATTCATTCTTATTTTCTAGATGAGGGTAAATAATGAAAAGAGCATCAGGCCAGTGATGGCAGAACGTAGACACAGAAGGTACCCCGACTCCCTGTCCTTGTTCATGCCCTGACGCCTGAGGGAGGACAGAGGCTGAGGGTTCCGGAGAGGAGCTGGACACTCCCCTCCTCCTGCTCGTCTCTGATGGAAAAAGCAGGAACCAAATGGTGAGAAAAGTTCAGGCCACGGGAAGCTGTAAGTCTGTCTCCCATGACCAGTCCTTGCCCGGGGAGGGCTGTGCGCTAGGAGACGTGACCCTAAGGCCGTGAGCCCTGATGACAACATCATCTAGGAGGGGGACCATGGAGCAGAGGGTTCCTGTTTCTCCCCAAACCCTTCAAACCTTCTCACCGAAAGGATGTTAATATAGAGGGAAAATGAGGAATCAAGGTTAAAGGAAAAGGATTCCTGTTTTATGAGTCCTGGCTACTGAGGCGATACAGTACATCATTATTGAAGCAACAGGGAGGATTTCAGGACAGACGCCCTGTGGACACGCACAGGAGCAGGAGGAAGCTCTCCAGGGTGAGGCCTGTGAGCACACGTGTGAGAGACCATTGAGGGTCCACAGTCCACGCACACGCTCCTGTTCCCTCCTGGGGGATCTGCAGACGCTGAACAAATGTCTGTGAATGAAATCACAGATGATGCTCCTCATGGGTTAGTGTTGGGGGAGCTACTGGGTTTAAAATAACATCAGGGGGAGGAGCGTCTGAGATTCTCTAGTGAAGAAATAGCTTAGACTTTTAACAGAAATGATGATGTTCTTTTAGTAAACAGCAGTCGTGGCCGTCAGCCCAGAGAGAGGCCAAAGGACAAGCAGGATCTGTGAGCCGCAGGGTGAGTGTCCACGTCAGGCAGAAACAGCTTCTGCAGCACAGACAGTGAGGATGGACGTCAAGGGCAGAGAAGCCTAGAGACCCCTCTCCCCACGTGGGCACGGCAGACACGGGGTAAGGTCACCTCCAGGGCCCCATGAGAGCTGCTCTTCTACCCGAGGGGGCAAGTGACCCACAGACCCCCCTCCTGAGACCCGCTTCTCTCCTGGGAAGGAGAAGCCACTTTCCCCTTTGCCTCCAGAGCCGCGTGGGCAGTGAAGGTGTCTGTGTGCGCTGTAGGAGGAAAATGAATTCAAGCTCTTTCAATAACATTCATTACTAGTGGTGACATTCCTCAACTTCCAGGCTTGGACTTGTGTCAGGGAGTTGGGGACATGGACAGAGACACATGAAAGAGACAAAAATGTGGGTGAGAGACCCAGGGGAGGCTGACAATGGCAGCCTTTATCTTGATGTGGATTTGATTTTGCTCTTGTCCTTCCAGATTTGCCTGGCCCCTCCTGCCCCTGTCCCATGGGTCTCTACCAGTAGGTGCCTTAGACTGTGGCAGGCTTTTGGGCCTCAGTGGTTCTGCTTTGAGCCAAGCCTGTTTGGCTGGGCATTTACCCATGAGGGGACAGGTAGCTTTGGGTGCTTAATTGGGAACTATTTATCTATATCCTTTCTCTTCTCTTTCCCTATTGCACACTAATTCTCTATTGCACACTCATTGTGTTCAAGTTCTTTTCTAACAAAGATGTTATGCATTAGATTTTTCCTTTATGCAGCTGATGGCAGATCCCATGTAGAGTGTACAGGTTTGAGGGCCCTGGGAATCCCTGATTCAGCCCGCTGACAGGACCAGACTTCATCCCCACCCACCATGTGCCAGAGTTCCTTTCCCTCCACACCCTTCAACGGGTCATTCTCACAGTGTGAGGTGGTAACTCATTGTGGTTTTAATTGGCATTTTCCTGACAGCACATGATGACAAACATGTATCCATTTCTGCAGGGGGCCTTGTTGGCCCAGCCGGATAGGATACTAACAAGCAGCAAAGAGAAAGGGCCTCACACCGTGGGGCTGAAGATCTGGCATCCCTTTGCTTTTTATTCTTGGTCATAGGAGAGAAAAATTTATTAGAGAGTATATTGGGCAGTGGATTGTACATGTCAGCAGACTGCAAGCAATTGGCACGGAAAATTATCTGTTTAGAAATTAGTTACTACACAGTTTGGCCCACTTGACAATGGGAGATGATTTATTGTACATATCTGACAAGCAAACCAGCACAACTATTATAGTAAGTCCTTCTTTTGCTTTTTTAGAAGTTCCTTTTTATTTAGAAGTTTCTTGGGAAAGTTTTTAAATGAAGCTATTTGAGTTAAGGAGTTTCTAGGTAGAAAAAGTTCTGATAGCTGAGTAGCAGCCGGTCCCGGCTGAAGGCCATGGGAATAAGAAGTCTTTTCTTGCTTAGGCTTGAGCTGATAGGGGTGTCCTGGCGGCTATCTACTGTCTTAGGTTATTGTTTAGCTGAAACAATGAGTTCTAGTGTAAGGCTTAGTTTTTTATTAACCTTGAAGTTTGCCTTCTTACTGAGAGCACGTAGTGGCCAAAAGTCTATGGGAAAAGGGATGCACTGATTGTTTCTGCTTTGTTTCTATGTATATGATGATGTCATCTCTCAGCTTGCTAAAAAAGTATAAATAAAGAACCTGCTGAGCCCCTGAGGAGAAGATACTTGCACCTCACCAAGTGTCAGTGTCTCCTCACTGCCTCATCCCCTTCCCTTCAGTCCTTTACGTGGCACCTAGACCGTCTTTTCCTTTCAAGGACTTCTGACCCGACATTTTGCCAAAAGCTGGTCTGCGGCAAGCCATGTGCCTATTGGCCATCTGTGTGTCTTCTTTAGAAAAGTTCCTATTTAGCTCCCCGGCCCCTGTTGTGATTGGGTTGTTTCCGCATTTTGGAGTTCTTTGTAGATCTTGGATAGTAACTCCTTGTTGGATTAATGATGTGCAAATATTTTCTCCAACTCAATATTGTCTTTTCATTTTAATGATAGTTTCCTTCACTATGTAGAAGCCTTTTAGTCTCATGTGATTCCATTGGGTGTTTTTTTTTTTTTTTGCTTTTGTTTCGTTGGAGCACAGAAGACATTATGGGCAGTGAAAATACTCTAATGATGGACACAGGTCATTGTACATTTGTCCAACAACACCCACAGAACGGACAACACCAGAGTGAACCCAAAGGGAAACCATGACTTTGGCGACTATGACGTGCGGGTCCATCACAGGTAACACACGTGCCAGTCTGGTCTTAACACGTGATTTGGTTGTGATGTGTGAGGAGTGTTATAAGTTGAGTAATGTAGTGTAATTTACTTTTGAAGGCATATTTCATGCACATAGAAAAACATTTAAATAACACTCAAGGACACACATAAGTAAGTCACCCCCCCAACACCCCAGTCAGCTAGGACATCTGCTCAAAGGCAGTTAGTGATTTATCATTTCTCTTCTCAAAAAAAAAATATATATATATATATATCTCCATGCTTCTGTCTGGACAACAATGCTTGTTTTCCTGTCAGCACAGGCGTTCAGGACACAGAGTGGGGGAAACATTTGCAAATCATGAATCTGATCAAGGACTGTATCTAGAATTTACAAAATAATGCTTAAAACTCAATGAGCAGAAAGAAATAACACAATTTTTAAAGGGACAAAAACAGTGTTGTAAATGAGTGGTGCCTCATTTGAAAAATGGACAAAAGACTTTAGCAGACACGTCACCAAGAAGAGACACAGACGACAAGGAAGAACATGAACAGAGGCTCAGCATCACAGGGCACCAACGAAAGACAAAAAGAACAACAGTGACGCCATCACACCTGGTAGGGGCTGAAAAATGCAAACCCTGCACAGGTGCTGCCCAGGATGTGGACAACAGGAGGCTCAACACTGCCTGCAGGAATGCAAAAGGGTGCGGTCACTGTGAAAGATCTTTGACAGTTTCTTTGAAAACCCAAAAACCTGACATACAGCCCAGCGTTCACTGACCCAGCTAGTTACCCAAATAATTTGAAAACTTATATTTGGGGGCCTCCCTGGAGGCACAAGGGGTTAAGATGCAACCTATGACGCTGTGTGCAATTGGGGAGGTGACCCACATGGCGCAGCAGACCTCTCTTGACCGTCCACTGCTCCCCTGAGCAGTGTATTTCAGTTAGCTGCCTGTTCTGCCCCCCTCTGTCTCTGGTGAATCCTCTCAACCCCCGCATCTCTGGCCTGTACCCCAGTTCTTGTATGCATGAATAAATAAATCTTTTAAAAAATGAAGACTTATATTAAAAAAAACTCTGCGTGCATGTAAATGGTTTTTTCTACTTTTTTTTTAAGTTTTTTTTTTTTAATATTCCCCATATAATTGTACCCCCCTCATTTTGACCCCAATCCTTCTTCTCCCCTCCCCCCATAGTGTGTTTCTGGTTTATAGTTGCTTGTTGATTTTGATTTTTTCTTTATTATAGTTATTCTTTTTCCTAGTCTCTTATTTAGGTTTTCTAGATTCCTGCTATGAGTGAGACCATCCGGTATTTTTCTTTTTCTTTCTGGCTTATTTCGCTGAGCATGATCGCTTCCAGCTCCATCCATGTTGCTGCAAACTGAATGTGTTTATCTTTTTCGATTGCTGAGTAATATACCATGGTGTATATGTACCACATCTTCTTGATTCAGTCATCTATTTTTGGGCATTTGGGTTGTTTCCATAGCTTAGCTATTGTAAATAGTGCTGCTATAAACATAGGGGTGCAGGTGCCCTTTGGAATTAATGTTTCTGTGTCATTTGGGTAAATACCTAGGAGTGGAATCATGCTTGTAAATGTTTATAGCAGCACACCCATAAGTGTGAGCTGCCCATAGTGACTTCCTTCCAAAGACAACAGCCTCTAAATAAATGGGAAAAAGAAGCTTTTCAGGAAGAAATCTGGGAAAGTGTGCCTTAGCCAGGTGTTGAAGGTTAACACCATCAGTGATGAGTCAGGTGGACATAATGAGCACTGCCTTGGTGAGTGGACAATGCCCCTGCACCCCTGGAGTCTGCTTCCCCAAACCCACAGTCCCAGTCAAAACAAAAAACCTAAATTGAGGGACAATAGTCCTGAGCAGTGTTCCTT